TTTGCTGTCTATGTAAAATTTTAATATACCACGTAGATCATATGAAAAATGATCTACGGACACCCTACCCTTAAAGAGTTATACTGCAAAATGATCCTAAATTGATTTATGTAAAAAAATTTCTTTTGAAAAAATTGTCATTCTCGTCCCTTTTTCCAGCGCCTAGCCAAAAGTTCTGAAGCTTTGCATTCGGTGTTTACTCAGGTTTTTACGGAGTTTACTAAAGTTCGGACTAGAGGTGCAGTCGAATCGTCCCAACGATATCGTAACTTTGCCGTAATAAAAAGTTACGGCAAACATACCATAACTTTCTATATTATTTAATATAGCAGATAGTTACAGCACGCTACGGCAAAGTTACGGCATCATTGGGACGATTCGCCTGCACCTCTAGTTCGGACTATCAAGGTTCGGATTTGGGAGAGTTGGCTCGGTCTTAGTGTAAGCCGATTCTGATTGGACAACCTGTATGATGTCATACCCGACAGTTACAAACGTAAACATTCACTTTAACTTTACGAAGTAAATTATCGATGCACGCCTTATGCACATTTCATTCTGGACTTTTTAAACAATAGAAATGTCTTCAAGCAATCCGAGATTAAGTAAACTTCCTGTTCATATCAATGTCCTTAATTCTCCGCGTAAGATACGATCTGCCACAGCTTCTTCCGCAAAAAAACTCGCTAGTATTTCTACTTCTGGTAATAAGATTTTTAGTTCTGCTAACAACAACACTTCTTTAAAGAAAAATGAGTCTTTAAAGAGAAAAAACAACGATTCCGCAAAAGAAAATGGCAGAAATGTAAAAAAGGTGCCGTTTGTTTCAGACTATTCAGCACGCGTTCCTTTGAAAAAAAGCACAACTACGGTTCCTTTGAAAAAAAGCACAACTACGGTTCCTTTGAAAAAAAGCACAACTACGCGCGGACGAATACAATATCCTCCTCCCCCCGCTCCTTTGCCAAAACCACCTTCCCAAATCGAACTCCTAAGAGACGAAAATTCTAAACTCAAAAAACAATTTGAAGAGCTACATAATGAAAAAACTGAGATATCTGCTGAGAGCACACAACTTCAGAATGAAATTCAAGAGGAAGAATGTGTTAAAAAAGAATACATAACAGATATTGACCGGATGAAAAAACGTGTAGCAAATGAAGAGGCTCATGTTAAGGAAATTGAAGACAGCATTGCGATTCTTCAACGAAATCGTAATGTTATGGTAGAAAACAATTCTAAATTAACATCTGAAATGAGAGCTTATAGAAATGAAGTGGAAAAGGCAAACGAAAGTATTGCCGAACAAAACAAGAAGATCATAAATAACACAAACCAAATTCAGGAGTTTACTTCTAAATTACAAGAATATGAGCGTCTTCGTCGAAAACTTCATAATGATGTTCAAGATCTTAAAGGAAATATACGTGTTTTCTGTCGCGTTCGTCCATTACTAGAGTCAGAAACACAAAATATCGCCAATTTCAAATTTCCAAAAGAAATACCATTCAATAGAAAAATCTCCCTTATATCAACCAAGACAAATTATTTAGGTGAAAAAAAAGAATCCCTTAAAGAATATCAGTTTGACCAGGTGTTTGATACTTTAGCAACACAGAAAGACATTTTTTCTGAGGTCGCACACATCGTTCAATCGGTTGTAGATGGTTATAACGGGTGCATTTTTGCATATGGCCAAACTGGGGCTGGCAAGACATACACAATGACAGGTCCTGTTAATGCAAACCCTGAAACCGAAGGGATGATCCCTCGAGCGGTCCGCTTAATTTATGAACTCATTCAAGATTTAAAGACGCAGTGCTGGAAATTTACATTGGAGGGACAGTTCATAGAGATATACAATGATAACATTCGGGACTTACTTGTTGCTGATCCGTCTAGTACAAATGGCGTTAAGCATAAAACAATTCATGATGAACGGACTGGGACAACAAGAATTTCAAAAGCCACTACTGGTATGTTGGTTTTTTTTTTTTTCTTATTAGTTTTATATTAGAGTTCAGTTAGATATTATTGAAACATATCGAGTACGTGCATGAGTACTATGTTTTAATAGTATTGAACTCGACATATTCAATTTCACATGAACGATTTCGTTTTTACATGATTTTTATATTTCTTTTGAATAGTGGACCTTGATTGTCCTAGTACACTCAATCAAGCATTAAAAACTGCAGCACATAATCGAGCGGTCGCAGCGACAAAATGTAACGCTCATTCTTCACGCAGTCATAGCGTATTCATGATTCGGTTAAAGGGAACAAATGACAACTCAAATGAAACTAGAATTGGTTCGTTGAATTTAATAGACCTGGCGGGATCAGAGCGACTCTCAAAATCCGAATCTAAGGGTGATCAATTGCAGGAGGCAAAGCATATCAATTCCAGTTTGAGTCATCTTAAAACGGTGATTCAAGGAATTAGGAAAGATTCTTGCCATGTAAATTTTCGTGATTCAACATTAACCTGGCTGTTAAAAAACTCTCTCGGTAATTGATTTAAAAAGAATATACATTTGATGATTCAAGTAATACATATTTATTAATATACATTTATTCATCATTAGGCGGTAACGCTAAAGTCCTTATGCTGGTTAATCTTTCGCCTTTAGAATCATCACAGTCAGAAACTGAAAGTAGCCTTGAGTTCGCGCGGATGGTAAATTCTGCACATGTGGGAACTGCTCACAAGAATTAAATCTCTTATTACAGTCAGGGATTTTACCAAATATACAGTGTTGATCGCACCTTTTATAGTATGCAAATGGCGATCAGATGTTTCTAGACATTTCTATCACATGTTAATCAGCCAATCAAATAAAAAATTATCTCCAAAATTTAAAATTATATAGAAATCTGTGCCGCGAATTTACTTAGTAAAAAAATCCATTTTTTTACAAAAACGAAGATATTTAATTTGACATGGAGTAGGATCGATTTTACTGTCACGTGATACTCGGAAAACAAACGTTGTTGAGCTAAAAGCATCTTTTATATAGTATTTGGATTAGAGTTTAGGCTATGGTTAGAAAGAAAAATAATACAGCAAAATTGCACAAGGAAAATTTTTTATTAGGACTCCAAGGAAGGTTTACTAGACTAAATTTTGAGATAAATGCGATTTTTGCAAAGCGAATGTTTTCTTTACGTTACACCTGATCCTAACCTTTGATTGGCTGATATGCGTCGGAAAATCATGTGACAGTAAAATCGATTCTACACCCTGGCGTTGTTAAGTTATACTAATCAGAACCAAATAATTTTTATACTATTCGATTCATCTCATTGAGACAAATCGATAGAACTCAAGATATTGTTGATTTTCTAATTTACTATTTATTAGAAAATTTTTAAATGGGGTATTTTAGATGGCAATCAATAAGCATCACCTCTGCGGGTTGTTATCAATATGGATTGAAATTGATTGACAATGAAATTGCTGATTAGAATTGATTAAGATTATAATCAATTAGTATTATATTTATTAACTAGCCAATAGATCATCTTCCAGTACCCACGTGCTATAAAAATAAAACTTTAGTATGTTTTTTAGTATTTATATATTATAAAATCTATTCAAATATTATTGCTATAATAGTGAATAGCATTAAAAATAAATTTATGTAAATTGATTTTAATTAATTCTAGTTATAATTTATATACTTGTGGTAAAAATAGAATTATATAAAAATTTTTAATTTAGAATAAAATAGAATCTTGGTTATTTAGATAAGAAATAATTAAATATTTAAAAATGTTACTAATTAAGTTATAATATATTTGCTAAGTAAAAATAAATAAATATCACACCTAGGGTTGTAAATTTACATTATAACTTACACAATAACTTACATAATTTGGAAATTTTACCTAAATGAACATATAAAAATTGCTTGTAAGTTACATCATAATTTTATTGTAAGTTTTACAACCCGAGTAAGGATCAGTTTTTTTAACCGGTCTTACGGTTGTTTGGTTCTCGGTCCTAAGACCTGGTTTTTATATGAATAGTTACTACTATTATCATAATTCCTAAAAACCTAATAAAAATTAGCAGGATGATTTTTTGGCCGATTCGACTAAGTGATTTGGCATAATAGATTCTATAAATTGATATGATTCATAAGTATGCACACACACATGTGTAATTAAGATCAGGTAACTAATATAAATATTATGCCATTACGAATATTGAAAAAAATTTAGAAAGCTTATCATTCGAAAATTGCAAATTCTAAATGTTAGCAAGTCTTTTATAAGTTGATTTCTCAAATACTTTCGAAGATATTGATGTATTAAAAACTTC